TAATTAATTAAGTACAAAAAATAAGTAATTTTAAAATTATTTAAACAAATAAAAAGAGAAGAATTTTTAATTAAAACTAATTAAAAATAACAATTTAAAATAAAATTACCAATGTATGATATGCTAAACCATTTGATTTCACCATAAACAATCAATATAAATCTTAAATTTTTATACTTTTAAGATAATTACCACTCATGTGACAATAGAATTTACTATTATTTTTAATATACTTTCTTTGATGAAAGCTCACTAAGGATATATTAATAATATAAAGATTACAATTTATTGATAATTTGCTATATAGGCATTACATAAAATCAAATTTCTACTAGTATCTCATTCATGGATTGCTATTTTGTTTAAAAATTGGTCTTACTTTAAAATTTCTTCTCCTCATATTAAAGATTGACACAAGTATTATATTTATTGTAAGTCAATTTTAATATTTATTACTGTGAGAATTAAAATAGTGATGGTAAAGAGGATAGATTAATAAAAAAAATTAAAATATGATCTATTCATCTATAATCTATAATCTAAAACAATGAAGATTAATTAACAAAATTAAACTTTGCAAGTTTACCCTTAAATGAATATGGTTTATTAATTTTATATTGTAACATGTAAAGTTAAAAATAAAACTAATTTGCAAAGTAGAAGTGAGGAAGCAATTGAAATAATTGTGATGAGTTTACCATTCAGTGCTAGACCTCGATTGCAAGGATTTTTTTTCATAAAAATGTAATCAAGAAATTGACAAAGCCTAAAAAGAGTAAGAAAAATTTTTTAGGTAATCTCTTTTATAGTTTAATTTTTATTGTGATGTCCTCTACCTTCATAGATAATTATTTGACAACATTATTACCAAATGGATAAAATATATTCTTTCGATTAATAAAAAATTGAAGTGAAAAACTAAGGTTAATTATAACTTTTAGAAATAAATCAAGAACTATACATGATTGGATTATCATGTTAAAATGCTAGAAGTATTATAGCATATAAAATGTAAATTCTAACATCACATATGAGATAGAAACCAAAAATCATATTAGTCCCTTAAATACTTATCCTCCTAAACCATTGAACCAAAAGATTTTGGGTAACATAATTTTAAAATATTCTTGAAAGTTTTTAGTAATCATCTTTGTGAAGATGAAATCTCTAATTTTTCAAAATAAGCATGATATTACAAACTACCATATCCTTCACCCAGCCGTACTTCATATGCCCGAGGGAAAAAATTAATTATAAATATTAAAAGAGGACGCAAGAAGATTAAAATGGCCAAATGCGAAAAAGTTAAAATATTAGTTATGCTTATAATGCCTGCTCACTCACAGCGAATATTAGCTGTGCTCACCATGCCTAGGCTATCGAAAGAAACTTGTCCTCCAAAAATACTTGCAAATTCTTTAACTTCAAAAACCA